TGCACTTGCAAGCATACTAACCTAACCCTAGGTAAGGCATGTTAGAGCGAATGACAGTATACTCGAATGAACCAAGAAAGAGCGGCGTGCGGTGCGGGGCGGGACGGAGCGCACACTTCTCTCGGTGGCTGGCGGGCGAGAGATTGCTGCGTCGCCGGCATCGGCGTCGAAAGAAGCCGAGCCGAAAAAAGTTGAAGGACTGCACGTGCAAGCATACTAACCTAACCCTAGCTAGGTAAGGCTTGTAAAAGCGAAAGACAGTAAACTCGAATGAGCCAAGAAAGGGCGGCGTGCGGTGCGGGGCGGGACGGAGCGCACACTTCTCTCGGTGGCTGGCGGGCGAGAGATTGCTGCGTCGCCGGCATCGGCGTCGAAAGAAGCCGAGCCGAAAAAAGTTGAAGGACTGCACTTGCAAGCATACTAACCTAACCCTAGGTAAGGATTGTAAGAGCGAAAGACAGTATACTCGAATGAGCCAAGAAAGAGCGGCGTGCGGTGCGGGCGGGACGGAGCGCACACTTCTCTCGGTGGCTGGCGGGCGAGAGAGTGCTGCGTCGCCGGCATCGGCGTCGAAAGAAGCCGAGCCGAAAAAAGTTGAAGGACTGCACTTGCAAGCATACTAACCTAACCCTAGGTAAGGATTGTAAGAGCGAAAGACATATAGACTGGTCCTTTACAAATTGCCGTCTGTCAGTAATACTCTTCTCTTGGAATTTGTTACAGCGCATCAGAATATGATCGCCTTCAAATACGAACCAAGTGAGGGGGTTTGAACATTCAGAAAGTACTTTAGAACTAAAAAATTTGTTCACTTCATTGGCAACTACTGGGACCTTAGTATCCGCACTGTCATCGGACTCTGATGATTCGAAGGCAAGGCTTATGGTTGATGTCGATTGCTGAACTGATGAAGGTTCAGCTTTTGCAACAACTGTTTGTTCAGATAAGACTGTGAGTTCCAACTCAATCGCACTTTTGAGCTGAAAAAAGTAATCATGTCAAAAAAGGACACATCTTTAGCCAAATCAACTAAGAATCCTTATCAAGGATGGCCAAAACAATCATTTAAATAAATTTGAAATTTTGTGCATTCGATAAATGATAAGTTTTGAATACAGGAATATTTGAGATTAGTTTTTTTCTGAAAATCTGTGATTTTAGGGAACACGATTGGCACCTGACAGGATATTTAACACACATGAACAGATTAAATTTGGCATCAACTTAACATAATGGGCTGTAATGCCCAAATAAGCTTCCATTTTTACACTAGTCCAAGCATCGAAAGTCAAGCTCATATGCTTAACGTTTTCAAGAACTCTCTTGAGCTCCATCTTTTTTTCACAATATTCTCCTTCTACACGTCGTGGTATGGTCCTCCTGGATGGAAGTGAATAATTTGGTGCAACTTGTGGGTCTCATTATACTTTCTTACCTGAACAACTTCTAGTGGGCGTGGCGTAACAATTTTTGGATATATGATCCCTGACCCCCACCTGATGACGTCATCCAAAAATTACGTCACTGCGACGTCACAATAACGAAATACAGCTTGCCAAAGTATAGCGACGGTCACCCGTAATGGCGCCTACGAGTATGTCAACAAACTTAATACGTCAGCGACCTCTCTCTTATCGGGGTCGTTGTGCAGAGCTCAAAATAAACAAGGATCACAAGCGATTAAATTGTCGCCAAGGAACGTTCACGATATCCCATTCTGACTAATTTCTGTCCAGCAATAGCTCATGTATCGTGCTACAATCTAATAGAGCGTTATACGATACAACTCTAATCAAGGCTTTAGACAAGCAGAAAAATACATATTATTTTACGCAATGGTTGGTTGGGTAGCACACACATAAAGACTTATTATTTTTGTCCAGCAATAGCCCATGTATCGTGCTTGCTACAATCTATTAATAGGGTGGTATGTATACGATACCGCTCTAAACAAGGCTTTAGACCAGACGAAAGGACATATTAATTCACGCACTGGTTGAAGTTGGGTACCACACACATAAAGACTTGTTATTTTATGTCCAGCAATAGCTCATGTATTGTGCTACCGGTTCCATTATCTTTGAACCCGCGTACATCTGAACCCGTAATTTGAACCCAGAACAATTGCACCTGCATACTATTGCACCTATGGACATTTGCACCTACGGACATTTGAACCCATACATTTCCACTCATGGATTTTAGCACCCGCATATAGATTGAACCCGCGGACATTTGAACCCGTGTACGTTTGCACCCGCGTACATTTGAACCCATGTACATTTGCACCCGCGGACATTTGAACCCGTGTACGTTTGCACCCGCGTACATTTGAACCCATGTACATTTGAACCAACGAACATTTGCACCCTGGACATTTGCACCCGCGGACATTTGAACCCATGTACATTTGAACCCACGAACATTTGCACCCGCGGACATTTGAACCCATATATATTTCCACCCACAGACATTTGAACCCACGTATATTTGAACCCGCGTACATTTGAACCCACGGACATTTGAACCCGCGTATATTTGAACCAACGTATAATATATTTGAACTCGCGTACATTTGAACCCGCGTACATTTGAACCCACGTACATTTTCACAAAAAATGTTTGCCCCAACGGCAATTTCCAGTCGCAAATAATTTTCATGTTACAGGCGCAAGGTCAATATTCTAAATTTCAACACTGTTTCACTTGTAGTTAGTTTTGGTGTATATGCATTTACCCGCTTCTACGAAGCAAGCATTTTTGAGTGTCATTGTAGTCCGAGGGATAAACATCTCTTAACGATATAAACAACATTGTTCTGCCAAGGTCTTTTTTCTTTTGCTGTTTACATTGACATTTGTAAATCCTTATCTCATTCGTTAGCCGCGATCTCCAAAACAGACGATGACCTAGAAAGCGAAGTCTTAAATGAGGGTCTTACTAAAACTAGCTTTACAGTAATATTTTTAGTGGTCAACTCCTATAAATTTGTTCTGAAATTATTGCACCGAAAACGCCTACTATGATATCCCGCCCAGCATGAGATTTGGGAGCTCTGTGGCCACTTCATGTTTTCTTGCTAGCATGTTTACAAAATTGTTATATGTATGCTGTTGAAAATGAGTGTTGTCTCAAATCAGGTTTTGCCATTTTTCCTAAAATCAATCTATAAATTGAATACTATTGTCTGTATATAAATAAATAAACGCACAGATTCTTCGTTTCTAAGAAAATATGAAATTAAGATAATGAAACTATGCCATTTTTGTAACAA